GTACACGGGCCTCTCACTGTTGCGGCCTCTCCCGCTGCGGAGCACGGGCTCCGGACGCGCAGGCCCAGCGGCCATGGCTCACGGGCCCAGCCGCTCCACAACATGTGGGATCCTCCCGGACCGGGACACGAACCTGTGTCCCATGCATCGGCAGGTGGACTCTCAACCACTGCGCTACCAGGGAAGCCCTCTGGATCTATTTTGATGGCTTTTTTCTCTGGTTATGTCACATTTTTTTGTCTTCACACCTAATAATTTTTTATTGCATATTGTATATTGTGGATACTGTGATGTTGCTAAGGATCTGGATTTTGCTGTCTTTAGAGAGTGTCCAGTTCTGCGGTGGCAGGCAGTTAATTTACTGGCAAATACGTGTGATCCTGTTGAGGACTGGTTTTAGAGTAATGTGGATTTATAGTAACTGTATTCCCAAGGGTTGGCCTGTTTGGGGTCTCAACTGAATGCCTGGCTTTTTTTTTTTCTTTCTTTCACTTTAAAAAAAGGTAAAGTTGAACAAAGTTCACATACTCAGACTGCTTAAAACACAGAGCCGTGACTAAATCTTATTTTTATTGTAATTTTCAAAACCCCAAAGAGGTTCTGCTTTTTAATCATTCTTTCAAGAGCTAGACTTTTGAGGGATGAAAGAGATGCCCACATCATGGTATGACTAGTCAAAATATTTAGTGCTTTCCTCCCTCCCTGAATAGGTAGTTGATACTGATGAATAATGAAAGATTTGGAATTATGGGACAGAAATTGATCAACTTAAGAGTACAAGAGTATATTACATCAGAGAAAAAGCTTTAATGTTGCATGCAACATAGGACAGCTAGGTCTGAGGGAGAATTGAGAAATGTGAGGTTACTAAAAATGAAATTATTCACCAGGTTTATTTAGGGCCTTTAGGGCCCTTCTGAAGTTTTATTTTCCTTGAAGTCTTTTTGCGTGTGTGTATGTGAATACTCTCATCGCAAAAATGCTATTGGTTGGGTAAAAGCAAACTTTTGAGACACAAGGGGATGTCAACAGTTTTTATCCTTCCCTAGAAACCATCTTTATAACAATGTCATTTTCAATTTAGAATCGACATTAAGAAAAACATCCAATCCAACTCATTCAGAGCTCAAAAGAACAAACAAGAAAGTGCTCAATCAAGTGCATGAAAGGATGTTATACCATATCAATAGGTGTGAAACTAATCTGAAAAAGTTACCATTATAAAAACTGGGTAAGTCATTTCAAAAATCAAGTTAATCATACATGACAGTTATCAAGAGTGTAAGAATTCATCTGAAACAGCTAGCTGTAGATGTCCATTCCAAACAATTCTATTTTAAGGTGAATTATGATTCTGTAAGCACATAACATTGCAATAACATGAACAGAAAAATACTGACTTTTAGTCCATTTTTTAATAGTAAAAACCCCCCCTGCCAATACTGGGGACACGGGTTTGATTCCTGGTCTAGGAAGATCCCACATGCCACAGAGCAACTAGTCCTGTGCGCAACTACTGAGCCTGTGCTCTAGAGCCCGCAAGCCGCAACTACTGAAGCCTGCGCACCTAGAGCCTGTCCTCCGCAACGAAAGCCACAGCAATGAGAAGCCCACACACTGCAATGAAGAGTAGCCCCCACTCACTGCAATTAGAGAAAGCCCGTGCGCAGCAACGAAGACCCAATGCAGCCATAAATAAATAAATAAATAAATAAAATAGAAATAGACTTTGAATAAACACATTCCAGGTGAAATAAATTTTACCAAAAAAAAAGAGTAACAGAGAAAAAGACTTGAGAAATTCAATTTGCCATGGAGAACTTCACAAGTAACACTTTTCTTGTCTAATACTAAATTTCTGGGGATTTGCATGAAAACAAGACATTAAGCACACCTAAATATAAATCAAGATAGAACATATAATTCAATAAATAACCAAAGGATTAAATGCTATGTCATCTCCAATGAACAAATTTCAAAGTAATCATCTTGAGAATAGAAAAGACAGGTTTTAACTTTTTCAATTTTAATGTTTAATAATTCTGGTAATAACTCAAAAAGTATTGCAATATTATAAGTACTTATGCCCAAATATCTTGTTTCAGTGACAGAACTTAACTCAGTGTTCACAAAGGAATAAATTGTTCCATTCAAAATTTATTGAACTGCAAATTAGTTTAAGTATTATGCTAGTTAACTAGAGAATATATCTCTAAAAAATATCTCAGCAGGTTCCTGGATGTCTCAGTATATGCCAACATTATTGGACTGTGTAAATTAGAAGCTGAAACTATGAATTACCTGTCAAGGTTTCAACAATAAAAAATTTTAAAAGCCCATTATATTTGTTAATAAATTAGATTTATACAATTGATAATTTCAAAATAAATAAAACCTGAGTAGTATATGCCCTCTATTTCCACCTACCCTCAGCATCTATCTGTACCTTTACATCCCATTTTCTTTTAGACCAGTGTGTCTCAGCTTTAATAAGCATACATATTCCTTGAGGATCTCATTAAGATGTAATTTCAGATTCAGTAAGTCTGTTGTGGGTCCTGAGAGTCTACCTTTCTAACAAGCCACAAATGAAGCTGATGCTATCTTTAAGCCACCCTTTGAGCAGCAAGGTGACCCAATATATAAAGTTAGGGAAACCTCTGGACTAATGACTGTGGTTTTATAGATTCAATGCTGTGATATTTTGTAATCAAACATAAATAACCAACAATGATCACAAAAAATAAGTCTTGGAAGAAAAGAATGTTTTAGTTAAGTGAGAACTTAAAGTATACCAAATTGGCAGTGTTTCTATTTGTCTGACAATTGACACCTTTGATACATTATAATGTAATCAGGACACCAAATTCTGGTAACTTTAAAAAATAGTTACTATAGCTTGAGGCTCTCTCAGTTAATTCAAGTTCAGAAAATTCAAGCCAGTACACTGTAAAACCACTATTAAAAATCTTTAATGGTAAAGTGTTCATATAAATTACTTGTAAACCTGCTCTAAGCTATCCCATCTCCTCCTCCTCTTTCAACAAATAAATGCTGCTTTTTTTTCTTCTGTCTTGTAGCTAAACAGCGTGTAACACCCAGTGCCCCTCCCTTTAAAAATCGAACAAAATTGTCTCCAACCAAAGGACCCAATGCAAAAAGGTTGGCTTCTTTAACACACTCATATGTATATGCATCTATTTCCACAGGATTACCCTTACATGTGATTGGCTGGCTTGAGTTGTGGCCCAGGTAACACCCTTGCTCCTTCAGAAAGGACAGATTGGGATGAGAACCTATCAATACTACTGCTGCAGAGAGCTTAAATATTTTCTTTAATCCAGAGATATTTTGAAGAATGCATTTCATGTCCGACTTAAAGGAAAGCACATGGTGCTCAGGAAAACTGGTATAATCAGATAAAAGATTTGAGTCTAAAGAATATGACTGAGTACACATCATATGATAGACTTTATGGTATTCTGGATAAAGCTTTTTGGGAAGCTGTTTGAAAATTAAGCTTGGATCAGTTACTCGTCTGCGAAATACATGAATCACAGGGACATTATTGTTGTAAGCACACAGTACTGCATCAGCTGCGGTAAGCCCAGAACCTACAATTAACACTGGATCCACTTTGCCACACAACTGTTCTTTGCTTATAGCGGCTCCAAATTCAGACAATGAATGAAACACAAAAGGAAAATCTTCCCCATCAATTTCCAAACGGCCAGGAGAATCCAATGTTCCAGTTGCCAGAGCTACATTTTCAGCAAAGAGACAGAAGGGAATATGGGAACCATCTCTTATTCGCTGATAACCCCTGATTTCCCAGTTTCTCTTGGTAAATTTTGACTTCTCTATCTGTAAATGCTGTGTTGAAATATCTCTGTCTTGACCATCATTATCAACTTGATCTCTGTAGAGTCTTGATACAGAGGTAATGTAAGTATTCTCTCTGAAATTCTTCTGAAGACCCATGACTTTTACATAATGTTTATAGTAGCGAGCTATTTCCTCTGGCATAACCCGATCCCCTTTTAGGTTCCTATAAAAAGAAAAGGAAAAATATTCTATGAGGATAATACTTTTAGTTTCCATGATTAGTACTTCTCCATCTAGTAAACTATTGCATCTTTTTAATTCCTCTGGACTGTCCAAGCTAAAGCTAACACTTACCATAACACTTTACAAAGAAAGAAAGCCTTTCCTTTTCTTTAAAAATGTTAATAAATTAGTTTATCAATGAAGGAAGTCCCATGAGGGTAGAGACTGTATTTAATGCATCTTTGTTTCCCCAATGCCTTGTATAAGTATCTGTTCAGATTAGCTGCCTTTATCAATAAACTTTTATTAAATAAATGGATTAAAATGTGGATATCTGAAAATTAGACTATTTTAGTCTATGTCACAATTGTAATCTAAATAATTCAGTCTATAGCTATACTATTCAGTCTGTATTCTATTTAACTATTGACTGAATTGTTTACAACCATTGAGATATTACAGGTCTGACTGCAATACATATACTTCTCAAAGATAATATCTAGACATGATTTTTAATAAGTTGCTTTTGTTTTCCTAATGACCAAAAATAATTCAGATCAGTCTTTTGCTGAACAAAATCATATTTAAGTAGATAACAGTTCTCTCTCTGTGTTTTCCTACTCATAAAGAGATCTATAAATATAAGCTGCTCTTTATGAAAAAAGCACGTTAATACATCTTTTATTTTCCACTTGAAATTTAAAGCAATGGGCATTAGTATCCTTAAACAATGCCCAATTAGAAGTAAGTAGAAATAAAAACACCAAATCAGGGAATTCCCTGGTGGTCCAGTGGTAAGGACTCCGTGCTTTCACTACCGAGGGCCCGGGTTTGATCCCTGGTTGGGGAACTAAGATCCCATAAGCCATGCAGTGGGGCCAAGAAAACCCAGAAAAAACACCAAATCATTTCACATAATTCAGTGTAACTTGTAACTGGAAGAAGTTCAAAGTTTAATGACTATAATAATTAAGATTTAGAATGTATTAACTCTCAATTTGTACAGAAACCCTACGTAATAGTTACTATTATTATTATCTTCATTTTGCAAACTAGGAAGTTGATAGCTAGTTTAAGTTATTTGACCAAGGTCATAACATTAGAAGGTACAGAGTCAGGATTTAAACCCTGCCAATCTCTAGAGGTCTAAGACTCTTAACACTATGCAAGGGCAGGAACTGAAGCTAATATTTATCACAAGATTCATTTTCACATATTACTTAAACACACAATATGCTCAATTTAGAAGGATGAACACTCTGGTATATAAATCATAAAGCTTTCTTTCCCTTTCTTACCCACATCATAAAGGGAAAAATATGTTGAGCAATTTCACTTTCTTACTTATGAAAATCAAGAACTTATACAATTTGCCTGATTTTTGCAACTTAACATTTCAAACCCATATAAAATTCCTTTTTAAAAACCCAAAAGTCATATTTGAAAGGTTTAAATTTACTCTGGTCTAAATTTACTTTCCTTAAATCTTCTTAAATTAAGGATAATTACTGTAGATTAACATGGTTTCTATCTAGCAGAAAGTCAAGCATTCAAACATTACAGCCCTGTTCTAACAAAGGTTGAGTAACTTCCTGATTTAATTTATTGTTTCTGGCAGCAGTCAAAGTAGAGTAGATTCTGTATATCAGTAGTTCCTATCTATAGGAATGAAAATGGCTTGAAAATGATAGGGTTTTTCATATTTCTCTTCTTAAATTTTGGGTTCTTTCTCCCAAATAAATACAAAATAAACTTTCATTCTTTCAAGTTGATATTTTCATATTTTCTTTGTTTTAAAATTAATTTTCATTGAAGTATAGTTGTTTTACAATGTTGTATTAGGGGATTTTCATATTTTCTATTCTCATATTTTAGTATTCTTATTAAATATTTACCTCTACAGCCAAGTAGGCAATCACATCACGGATTCTATTTTATTCCATCATTCTAAATTATTCATTATATATATTCTGGTTTCTCTTCAGATCATATAAATCTTAAGCTTTTTAAAATTATTCATTATATATACACTTCTACTCTGAAAAGTCAAATACTTTAGGTATGTATACATGAGATATGCATACATGAAGTTATATATCCGTTCATAAAAATAAGTTATATATATATCCACTCATAAAAATAAGTAAATATGGAAAGGATATGTAGGTGGACAAGAAAGTAACAAAACAGAGTGGTTTAACAGGAGAGTGGGATAAAACTATGATTAACAATCTGTAGACAAGCCCTTACTTCTGTGTGCTTAGTTTTATAAAATCTCTAAATAGAAACTAGCTCATAACCACTGCTGCAAAGAGGTTTTATTTGAAAGACACATGCATCAATATTATTCATCTCAGACAGGATCACAGCTAGTTTGAGATTTGCTGACAGACTCCCATTGTACACCAAAATTTTAATAGTTTGATCTTTACCTTCGTTTGCTAGATACCCAATCTTTAAATTTAAGTCCAGGTAGCTCCATCCAATTTCCAAAGCTGATTGTCAACATCGAGCCTTCCATATTCTATTTGAATAAAAAATGTACAATCAAAAAACACATTTTATCAGTAACAAGGTTTTTTTTTTAACCAAAGCCATCTCATTTACTATAATTAAGTCTGGATAAGCAGAGCTCAAATAAGTCCTAAATGGTTGTGTAAATCACCTCTGGAAATTTATTCCAATTAACTTTCAAATATTTTCAACACTTGGTAGTATCTATACTCCTTCTTTCATGTAACTATATATTTATAAATCAGATTTACAATATTACCCAATGCCTATAATCAACATAATTAGATGCAGAATATCGTGTTAGAGGAGGAAATCAGTATTTTCATTTTAAACAAAAGGGGAAAAGTTCATTCATTTCTAACACTTTAAATGTCTTTCCATTTTAATATTATTAACAAACCTTTTTTTTTTTTTTTGTGGTACGCGGGCCTCTCACTGCTGTGGCCTCTCCCGTTGCGGAGCACAGGCTCTGGACACACAGGCTCAGTGGCCATGGCTCACGCGCCCAGCCGCTCCGTGGCATGTGGGATCTTCCCGGACCGGGGCACGAACCCACGTCCCCTGAATCGGCAGGCGGACTCTCAACCACTGCGCCACCAGGGAAGCCCAACAAATTTTTTTAAATGGGCAGCAAAATGGCTTCCCCCCCAATCAATTATGATTGTGAAGTCTAAGCTGGTTTCAGTACAGCAGGCATCGCTTTCTAAAACTAAGTGGTTGCCTGATTAAGAACAGACTCACTGCTGAGGCTAATGCTGCCTTTAAGGAAGTGACCCCCTACTTCTACTTTGCTCAGTACAAAGCAAGAAAAGCCCAAGGGCCAAAAGCACCTTTCCCAATGACCTCAACGATCTCTTTCAACCAACTCTTTTAGGCTATGCCTTCTTTTATCTGAACCCTTCTTGCCCTGTTTCTACACAGCCCAATATTGGGAATGGGACTTGTTATTATTATTAGCTAACATTTACAGAGCACTTACTATGTGCTACGGCTTATAAAGTCATTTGTGACAGTACAAGATCACCACAGGAAGAGCTAGTTGCCACTGCTTTGAAGCAGGCTGGGCCTGATACTAGGATTAGAACCAAGTTTCAGGTATATATCGCTTTAGCACTGATTCAAATATGTTTTTAGTAATCAAGGCTTATCCATACTTTAACTTTCCTAAATGTAAGTGGGAGAAATGAAGTAACAGAGATAAAATATTGCCTGCACATTTTTCCAAGCAGAAAATATATATGTACAATAAAACCTCAGGAATTTATAGAACGTTCTCTAAAAACTTAAAAAATATATTATGGTTTTTCCAATAAATGCAGTTTTATTAAGAATGCTACTTATTAACAAAGCAAATATAAACATGTAAGCTAAAAGGCACAGATATTTTGATAGTTGCTATCCATTACCATAAAGGTAATTAAGATGAAAAAGTCAGTGATATAGTTAATCTATAAAGTCCCCAAATACTCTGAAACAATCGTTTGATAAATGTAAACAACTTTTAGCCATATAACATTGCACTAATATAGGAATATCCAACTGAAGTTTATACTAAAGATTTGATATTTAAAGTTAAAATTCCCATGAAGTCTTTATTTCATAACATAGCAAAAATTATTTAACATTTATTTGTACAAGTGAGCACTCACCACACACTAGACACTGTACTAACTGCTAAGGACACAGGAGTGAAGAATAATTATTAGCTGCTGCCCGCTAATGAAATATGCTGAATCTTTATGTTGATAGTCCTCTGGTTTAACCTCTGCTATGGACTGAATTGTATCACCCCCCAAATCCACATGCTGAAACCCTAACCCCCCAACGTTATAGCATTTGGAGATGGGGCCTCTGGAAGGTAATTAGGGCTCGATGAGGTCATGAGGCTGATGCCCTCATAACAGGATTAGTGGCTTTACAAGAAGAGAGTTCACACTCTCTTTGCTACATAAGGATATGCAAGAAAGCAGCTGTCTGCAAGCCAGAAAAAGAGCCCTCACCATAAACTGAATCATCTGGCACCTTGATCTTGGATTTTCCAGTCTTCAAAGTGTGAATCTGTTGTTTAAGACACTCAGTCTATGGTATTTTATTTTAGCAGCCTAAGCAGACTAATACAAATATTTTTCTTTTACATTTTTCATTTAAGATCTTGAAAATGTGGGGAAATAATACATATTAGGTAAATAATACATATTAGAATGAAATACTGTGTGAAATTTTGTAAACTCTACAATGAATAAATGAATTAAAAATGTTTTACTATGCAAAATATCTTGAAATATTTTCTGTATAATTCTTAGAGAATTCTAAGACACTATCACTAATCACTATTCTAAGACACTATCACTAATCAAATTTGGCTTAATTTCTACTAGTAATTAATTCATATTTATCCAAACACATTAAAATTCTCAGATAAAGATGTGGTAATCTTCATATATAATATTATATCATAATGTTTAAGAATCAAAATGGTCTTATCAAGATGACATATACTAATTCACATTCACTAAAATGCTAAGGAAAATATACTCACATGCCAAGCTCCACCAGGTGGACCTTTACCAAGAACTAAGTGAGGGATATAATGATGCTGTTCTAATTTCCAATGCAAAATGGATGGATAATCATACCCAAAGTCAGCATCTGGATGAAGAAGTGCGTCAAAAAGTACTGCAACAGGATTGGATGATCGACCCTCAAGGCCCTCAGACAAGTACTCTAAGTCCTGAATTTTTTTTTTAAAAAGAAAGAAAAAAGGCAGATAGAATTTGGAAAAACAAACAAAAAACTCCAGCTAACATAATAATAGTGAAGACCATTATTGTAATCCAGCATTTCCCATAGAGTGTGCTACAAAACACTGACATTCCTTGAGATCTTAATAGATTCTCTGGTCAAATAAGTATGGGAAAAGGTTGGGTTTCAAAAAGCTAATCAGATCGTTTTACTATAAAACTTGAAGTTGCCTTTAATATGCTAGTATGCCTTACTGTGTCTACCATGACACTCTAATAATAAAAAGCAGCATTTCCCAAACTTACCAGAGCATACAGCACGTATTAAAACTGCATCAGGAAATAATTTGTGAAATTCTGCTCTAATTAATTCAGGAAAATAAATGGAAGCAACTCAGCAGAATATATTTACAATTCTAAAATTAAAATGTTAGGTGTTACTTAGAAGAAAAGGTTTTCAGCTAAGAAATACAATACTTATATAGTAGAAAACTAACCTTGTCTCAGTATAAAAAAATTTAAATAATACCTGATCAACAATGGAAAGATGTCTCGCTTCTTCTAATTTGCTATGTAAAATTGTGTTTGGATGTATTGCTTCTGATGATAAATATGGTCTGTAGCCTGACAGCATATAAGAAAGGCAGATTCCTGAGGGTCCATTTCCTATTTAAAAAAAAAGGTGGAGAGGGGTGTATCTTGCATCTTAATACTCATGTTCTTTGGCTTTTCTGTTTCACAGATGGTTTTTCTCCTTCACCAATTCTTCTTTCTCTAAACTCTCAAAGCCAAGTATTCACAAGAGATCTTTGTCTTCTCTCCTGTTTTCTTTTGGGAGTCTCACCTACTCAAAGCTTCAACTCTCTATACTACTAACCCTCAAAATTAGATATCTAGGCTGACCTCTTACCCCAAAAATATATCCCAAATTTCCATATGCCACTTCTTCACCTGACTGAACCACTAATAACTTAATCACAATGTGTTCAAAAGCAAATTCATGAGTTCTTCCATTTTGGTGGCCTCTCCTTTAAACCTCATTCCTTTGCTGGTATACTTACCAGCAAAATCCTAAGTTAATCAGGTTCTGGTTTAAACGTATTTTGTCACCTATATCCATTCAGTTGTCTTTGTTATTCTCACTCATATATTCTCACTCAGAAGACAAAAATCTCTTCTTGTTCCTCTTCAAGATTCACCTACTTGAAATCATTTCACATTCTACATTCAAATGAGTTCTCATAACAGAGTTCTCATTATGTTACCTGCACTATGTTACCCATTCTACCCAAAGCCCTTCATTGCTTGTTTCTTCTATCCAGTATTCTCCATGTTCTGGTCTCAACCATCTTTCAAGTCCCACCTCCTAATAACTTCCCTCCTGTATTTCTATATCCTTTACCCAAAACCAAACTGGATTTTTTGTTGTTGTTGAACTCCAACAACTACTTTGATTTCTGTAGTTCTTTTAGTCTGGCTTGCCACTTCTCTATTATATCCATCTACCAAAAAATTAATCTATCTGGGACAACTGTAAGCCATCAGAAAAATATCCTGTTCCTTGTCTAATATTTTGCCCCAAATAAAATAAGCTCAAAGATGTAAACATGAAAAGTAACATCATAATATTAGGAAAGAGGTTAATATTTCTACTTATAATGCTGTAGTAAGAAGCCTTTAAGTACGACACAAAACTCAAAAGACAGAAAGGAAAATAAACCATTTGACTTCATAAAAATTTTTTTTAAATGGCAAATACTGGGAGTTAAGATCTGAGATAAAGAGCTAATTTCCTTGAATCAAAAAGAAAGAGACAAAACTAAAGAAAAATCATAATACCAACAGAAATAGAAAAAAACATTTGAGAAAATCCAACACTTATTCATGTAAAAACTCTCAACAAACAACAGAGGGGAAATTCCTTAACTTGACAGAGTATCTACAAAAATCCTACAGCTAACACCATAATTAATGGTGAGAAATTAGGGGGTTTTTCCCTATAAGATCAAGAAAAGGATGTCTCTTCTCACCATTCCTACTCATCACACACCTTAATGGAAATCCTAGCTAATGCACTAAGACCAGAAAAGGAAATTAAAGGTATACAGATTGAGAAAGAAGAAACAAAACTCTCTTTGTTTGTAAATGCCATGATTATCTATGTCAAAAGTCCCAAAGAATTGACCAAAAAAACCTCCTGGAAGTAACAGGCAATTATGTTGCATGAAAAAGGTTAATATATACAAGTCAATTGCTTTCCTACAGACCAGTAATGAATAAGTGGAATGTGAAATTAAATACACAACCCCACTTATATTTGCAAGAAAAACTTGGGTGTAAGTCTAACAAAATTCACATAGATCTAAATGAGAAAAACCACAAAACTCTGATGAAAGAGATCAAAGAATATCTAACTGATGGAAAGCTATTCCATGTTCATGGATAGAATGATTCAATATTGTTAAGATGTCAGTTCTTCCCAACTTGATCTACAGATTTGATGCAATCAAAACTGATTCTAAAGTTTAAATGGAAAGGCAAAAGACCCAGAACTGTCAATATAATATTGAAGAACAAAGTTAGGGCTAATACCATCCAACTTCATCTTACTGTAAAACTACAGTCAACAAGACAGTGTAGAAATGAAAGAATATATGAATGAATGGAACAGAATAGACAGCCAAGAGATAGATCCTCACAAATACAGTCAACTTATTTTTGACAAAAGAGCAAAGGCAATGCAAAGGAGAAAGGATAATCTTTTCAACAAATGGTACTAGAACAACTGGACATCCCCATGTAAAAAATGTGAATCTAGATACTAACTTTATATCTTTACAAAAATGAATTAAAACAGATTATAGACCTAAATATAAAACATAAAATTATAAAACATCTAGAAAATAACTGAGAAAATCTAGGTGATGTTGGGTTTGGTAATGAGTTTTTAGATATAACACCAAAAGCAAGATCTATGAAAGAAAAAAATTGATATGCAGGACTTCTTAAAATTTATGCTCTGCTAAGTCACTGTTAAGAGAATGAAAAGGCAAGTCACAGACTAGGAGCAAATATCTGCAAAACATGTATTTGATAAAGCACTTGTTTCTAACATATACAAAGAACCCTTAAATCTCAACCATAAGAAAACCACCAACACAATCAATTAAAAAGTAGGGAAAAGCTCTGTACCTCAAGGTATAGAGATGGAACATAAGCATATGAGAAATTACTCAACACTGTATATCATTACAGAACTGTAAATTAAAACGTGATACTACACACCTATCAGAATGGCTAAACCCCCAAACACAGACAGTATCAAATGTTTCCAAGGATGTGGAAAACAGGAACTCTCATTCATAGTTGCTGGGAATGCAAAATGATACAGTCACTTTGGAAGACAATTTGACAGTTTCTTAAAAAGCTAGACATAGTCTTACCATATGACCCATCAATCACACTCCTAGGTGGGTTGAAAACTTAATGGCCATGCAAAAATCTACACATAAATGTTTGCAGCACTTTACTCATAAATGTCAAACACTGGAAGCAACCAAGATGTGCTTCAATAAGCGAATGGGTAAACTGAAACATCCATACAATGCAATAGTATCCAGTGATAAAAAGAAATGAGTATCGGGCTTCCCTGGTGGCGCAGTGGTTGAGAGTCCGCCTGCCGATGCAGGTGGACATGGGTTCGTGCCCCGGTCCGGGAAGATCCCACATGCCGCGGAGCGGCTGGGCCCGTGAGCCGTGGCCGCTGAGCCTGCGCATCCGGAGCCTGTGCTCCGCAACACAACAGTGAGAGGCACGCGTACCGCCAAAAAAAAAAAAAAAAAAAAAAGAAATGAGTATCAAGCCATGAAAAGACAGAGAGAGGGATCTTAAATGCATACTGCTAAGTCAAATAAGCCAGTCTGAAAAGGCTACATACAGTGATTCCATATATATGACATTCTGGAAAAGGCAAAACTATAGAGATAGTAAAAGATCAGTGGTTACCAAGGGTTGATAGCTGAAGGAAAGGATGAATGGGTGGAACACAGGAGGTTTTTAGGGCAGTGAAACTATTTTATATGATGTTATAATACATGACATTACACACTCAGCAAAACCCACAGAACTGTACAACCCAAAGAGTGAACCCTAATGTGCACTATAGATTTTAGTTAATAATAATGTATAAAAACAGTGGTTCATCAATTGTGACAAATGTACCACACCAAAGCAAGATGTTAATAAAAGGTAAAAAAGGGGGTTGGGAAGGAGAAGAAAAGGAATATATAATAAAGATGTTAATAAAAGGTATAAAAGGGGGTTGGGAGAGTATTTACAGAAATATTCTCTGTAATTTGTTTCATTTTCCTATAGACTTAAACTGCTCTAAATAAAACCTATTAAAATAAATACTGACTATACAAAAAATAGTGCGAGTTAATATCGCAAAGAATTAAAAAGAAATAACACTCAAAAGACAATACAAAAAGAATACAAATAAGCAGTTCATAGAGAAATATGTACACAGGCAGAATGTGCCCCAACTCCCAAAGATTTCCCATTCCTAACCCCAAGAACCTGAGCGTGTTACCTTACAGAGAAAAAGGACTTTGTAGATGTGATTAAATTAAGGACCGTGAGCTGGAGAGAGTAGCCTGGATTATCCAGGTGGGCCCAATCTAATCACACAAGTCCTTAAAAACAGAGACACTTTCCCACCTGTGGTAAGGAGGAACCATAACTATGAACGGTTAAAAGAGAAACAACACTGCTGGCTTTGAAGATGCAGAAGGGGTCCAGGAGCCAAGGAATACTAGTAGCCTCTAGAAACTGGGAAAGCAAGGAAACATTCTATCTACCCTAGAGCCTCCGAAAGGAATGCAGTCCTGCTGATACCTTGATTTTAGCCCAGTGAGACCACTGTTGGACTTCTGTTCTATAGAATAGTTAAATACATTTATGTTGTTAAAGTCACCAGGTTTGTGGTAATGTGTTATGACAGCAACAGAAAACCAATTACATACATTATGGAAATTAGCCCTTTATTATGATCAGCTGGCGGTGCTATTGCCAGCAATAATAGCCCTATATACATGAGGTTAAGCTACACTTCGGCTAGCTGAGGCAAAATAGGAACAGATTGCTTTGGGGGAAGTAAGGTGCAGATGAAAGTAGTTTTTCCTTTTCTGACCCTGCCATAGCCCAACTAGAACAAGAAGACATAGGTTCCTTTGCCTATGGCAAGACATCCAGGATGGAAAACCAGGGTTGGATATAAGTGGGAAATGGAATGTGAGATTTAGTTTCCAAGATATCTTGGATGAGAAATACTGCAAACACTGTCAGCTCCCCTAGAGGGGAATCTAGTGTAGAACTATCTTGCTTTCCTTCCTTCCTTCCTTTACTGAATCTCCTATGGAGAGATGTCAATACGCCAGACAGAGCACAGGACTTTCCTCTCCATTAACTTGAAACAAGTCAAAGAAACTAAGGAAGTTGTATGCCATCAAGGTACATTATGTCCCATAACTCCTTCCTTTGGCTTGGTTTCACACTATAGTACTTGTCCAACTTCATGAGTTTGAATATTAGATTAAAGATACATATGACAGGTAATTAAATACATGCAATAAAACAAAATCATAAAATTTTATAATTTTGAATTAGGTTTTATTAATAACTTAATTTTTAATCTTATATACCTATCTATTGAGGTGGTACAACAGATATATAATAGTAACATATGGTTAAAATATTATAAACCTAACTGTAGAGTACTATAATGTTCTTTACTAACTGAGTACTGACTACTAACTTGCACAGGTTACTCAACTACTGAGTTTCCCTGTCTGTCCATACCCTACAACCTCAGAGGGCTATAGAGTTTTAAGGCATAATCCAATAATGTACACAGAATGCTCTATACAGGGCTCTAATAACATTGGTTATCATCATTATCATGACACTGTCATATAAGTAACACAACTGATATTTTAAAATAATAGAGTAATATTAACCCTTCAATGAAAAAATGTTCTATTCTAACACAGAATCTAATATCAGATCAACCAATTCCTCTCTCCAAAGATTTGGTTATTGGTTATTTAAAAATATTAAGCAACCTAAGAATACTTTTCAATACAATCCTAAGAACTTGTGCTATGTAACTGTGCATTTATAAAAGCAGTACGGATCAGAACTGTAATTTTAAGAGATAAAATGCAATAAAACTTACCTATTACTACCACAGGCAAAGTCACTGATGAATCTTCAAGTAAAGAAGTTTCTTCAACTAATGGCATAGCTTTAACTTTTCGCCCCAAATTATCACCAAAATACTGCACTAAGGAATTAAAAATCTCTCCTTCAGTTTCAGGGTCACTATAGTTTCTTTTAAAAGGAAAATATGGAACAAAAACAAAACAACAGATATATAGTCAATATAGCCTTTATAAAAATGTCTTTATTCAGATTTTATTTAGGCCATAAAATATTCAATAGTTCCATAAAAGGAGAAAAGGAAATCCTTTTGATTAATGCTTTCAAATTAGTACCTTAGCCACGTCAATGTAGACCACTTTGTTAGAAATCTTAAATACAGTGGTCCCTTGGTATCCGAGGGGGGTTGGTTCCAGAACACCACCCTCACTCCCCAAATACCAAAATCCATGGATCCTCAAGTCCCTTATATAAAATGGCATACTATTTTCATGTAACCTACCTACATCCTCCCACATAGTTTAAACCATCTCTAGATACTTATACCACCTAATACAATGTAAATGCTATGTATGTAGTTGCCTGCATGCAGCCATTTCAAGTTTAGCTTTTTGGAACTTTCTGGAATTTTTTCTTTCCCAAATATTTTCTATCTGCAGTTGGTTGGATCCGTGGACACAGAACATGTGGATATGGAGGGCTGAATGTAGCTGCTCATGTCTCTTTAATGCCTTGAAGGCAAGTCTTAAATAAGAAGCTATTTTTAATGACCAAAGACATAACGTATTAGGGATTTTTATAATTCTGAGATCTCCTAGGACTGGAAAGTTTCTCCTTCACTTTTTTCTCATTAATAAAAAGATGAGTGCAATAGAGGTAGTATATTTGGGAAAAAACAGTCACATAATATTTTAAGGAAAAGTTACTGAACTTATATATTACAAATGGTGCATTTTGGTAAAAAAAAAAAAATAAGGTTTATACATCTTATTCTCAAAGAGATACTGAAAAATGCAAAGATCTTAACGTTAATTTCCAGTCTACCTTCTTTCCCAACTGCCTCCCTAGAAACTAGTTTTGGCATTCTGACAAGCTCATGTAATAAATGGGAGTATCCTTTGAACACAGTTAGTGTTTTGCATTATACTAGAGATTACTTCAGAACAGAACTCCTGAATTATTTTTCATTTTCATATAGTCAGAAACAGGCCAATGTCTGAAAATATTAAACAGTACTGACCAGTGGGTGAGTGTGCTTATTACTATTACTAAAATGATAAACATGGGAATGGATCAGTTATTTCACAGGACTCACTGATCCTTGGGGGAGGATGACAAATGGAAAGAATTAGGCAGAGACCAAAATCTCTCCTTCCCTATAACCTTCCAAGTTCCCAAACTACCCCAGGTTAGGGCAGAGTTCCCCAGGATACGACAGATTTCCCACCCCCAGTAATTGAGCTCCCCTAACAATACATGGCCCCTTTTGGCCAGAACTGATACCCTTTGGATATGGCTACTTAGGAAAGCCCCTCCTCACACTGCAAGCCTGCCCCTGAAAGAAGTCTTACGCTCAATCCATCCCTTTCAGAGCATTCCAACTCCCACCACTGATCAGATCCAGATGTACTAGCTGTCTTGCCTTCTGCTTCTTGACAACTGAACTCAACACGAGTATATTATACTTGGGCCTGTCCCTGATATTTCTCCAAAGTGTGTGCCCAGGACAGGTTCCCCAGCTTCCTTTGGATGCTTCTGATTAGTCCTTTTAGGTATCCAGGCCTCATTAATATTATGGTGGTTGTAAAGGCCACAGTTCTTTTTCAGGAGATGCAGACATCATGGCCAGTCTCCTCCTGACATCCCTATCTCAAACACTGTTGCTTCCATATATATAACCTGGAATTTAATTAATAAAAATGATCATCACCCTAAGATTCTGGTAATTAAAAAGCTGTCTCCTTCTTCAAACCCTAACAAATGTTTCACACTAATAAAAGGGCAGATATGCTAGGGGTTAGAGTCAACTTGAGACTATATAAATATTAAACTAGATACTTTAATATTATCTGATATCCTGTACACTCTGAGAGCAAACTGATAATCCTCTGAATGACTGAATGAAGGTACTTTAGCAGTTACTACCATATTTGATTTTATAAGCAAAACTCAATGATCTAAAATGCATTGGTCAGTTTCTTAAGTCTACAAATAAACGCTGTGAAACAAATATTTAATATTTAAATTCCTTAAGAACAAAAAAATCATGGCTAGAAGTGTTGGCTTAAACTCCGAATCACTTTTACTTAAAGGTACAGTAGAATTCATTTTTTAAATAACTTATTAAGAGGCACTTAATATTCTAAGTCAAGATGTCTCAAGAAACCTTTTTTTTTTTTCTGGCAGGCCTCAGAATTTTAATATAGCTATCAATTCTATAAATTGACTATACATTTTGTTTTGAATTTTATTTATTTTTGTACAGCAAGTTCTTATTATTTATCTATTTTATACATATTAGTCAATCCCAATCTCCCAATCATATATGTCAATCCCAATCTCTCAATTCATCCCACCACCACCAACCCCCCGACTATACATTTTACAAGGATCTTTCATTACGCTGGACTAGTCTTCTCAAACAATTGGTTTATATTTAAGAAAAAAGAGGTTAAGACAATTAGAAATAAAATGCCTCCTCTGTTAGGCTTCTATTAATCAAGAAAGACAAAGTTTTCAAGAGCTCAAAAACATCAGAAAAACAACAGATCATCTGATCAGGCCTTAGACCAAGGTAAATAAATAGAGGGAACTTGGTAATGCTTTAAAAATAAAAGACCTTTAATGAGATATAATTCACATATAAAATTCACCCTTTTATTTATTTTTTTTGGCAGCACCACTTGGCATGTGGGATCTTAGTTCCCTGACAGGGATTGCACCCACGCCCTCTGGAGTGGAAGCACAGAGCCTTAACCACTGGACTGCCAGGGAAGTCCAAAACTCACCCTTTTAAAGTGTACAATTCAGGGTTCTAAGTAGTCACAAGGTTTTTCAATCACTACCAATAACTTCAGAGAAATTTTATCACCCCAAAAGTATATGTTGCACCCCTTAGCACTCATTCTTCATTCTTCCCTCCCCGCAGCCATTGGCAGCCACTAATCTACTGTCTTACTGATGTGCCTACTCTGGAAATTTCAAATAAATGGAACCCCTCATACATTATGTAGCCTTTTGTGTCTGGCTTCTTCCACTTAGCATGTTTTCAAGGTTCACCCAGGTGGTAGGATGTATTGGTACTTCATTCCTTTTTATGCCTGAATAATACTCCATTGTATACTACCCACCCATGAGCTGATGAACATTTGGATGGTTTCCACTTTTTGGCTATTACAAATATGCTATGAACATTCATATATAAATTTTTGTGTGGACAAATGTTTTCATTTCTCTTAGGAGTGCATGCAACGGCTGGGCCGTAAACTCTATGCTTAACATCTTGAGGAATTAGCAAACTATTTTCCCAAGTGTGCATCATCTTACATTCCCACCAGTGATACGAGGGTCCCAATGTCTCCACATCCTCACCAGCATGTTATTATTTGTGTTTTTTATTTTAGCCACTCTAGTAGGTGTAAAGTAGCATCTCATTGCAGTTTTGATTAGCATTTCCCTAATGACTAATAATGTTAAGCATCTTTTCATGTGCTTATTGGCCATCTGTATATCTTCTTCGGAGAATAATTCAAATTATTTGCCCACTTTCCAACTGGGCTGTCTTTTTTATTGTTGAGTTAAAAAAATTCTTTATATGTCCTGGATACAAGTCCCTTTTTGGATATATGATTTGTAAATATTTTCTCCCATTTTGTGAGTTGTCTTTTCACTTTCTTTATATTGTCTTTTAAATCACAAAAGTTTTAATTTTTGATCAAGTTCAATTTATTTTTTTCTTTTGTTGCTGTACTTTTGGTGTCATATCTAAGAAAGCACTGCCTAATCTAAGATTACAAACCTGTTTTCTTCTATGAGTCTTATAGTTCTAGTTCTTAAATTTAGGTCTTTCATCCATTTTGAGTTAACTTTTATATATAGTATGAGGTAGCAGTCCAACTTCATTCTTCTGCTTGTGAATATTCATCTGTCCTGGCATCATTTGTTGAAAAGACTGATATTTCCCTTTTGTCTCGGGATCCCACAGAAATCAACGGACAACAAATGAAGGGAATTATTTCTGGACTCTCAATTCTATTCCATTGATCTATGTTTATCTTTATGCCAACGTAACACTGTCTTGATTACAGTTTCTTTGTAGTAAGTTGTAAAATTAGGAAGTGTGAATCCTCCAACTTTGTTCTTTTTTCAAGATTGTCTTGGCTATTCTGGGTTCCTTGTAATTCCATGTGACTTTTAGGATCTGCTCATCAATTTCTGAAAAAAAAAAGGCAGCTAGGATTTTGATAGGATTACACTGAATTTGTAGATAAATTCAAGGAATATTGCCATCTTAAGAATACTAAGCTTTTCAATCCATGAACATGGGATTCCTTACCATTTATTTAGGCCTCCTTTCATTCTTCTCAATGTTTTCTAGTTTTCAATGTACAAGTTTCACATTTCTTCTGTTAAATTTATTCCTAAATATTTTATTCTCTTTGATGCTAGTATTAATTGAATTGTTTTATCAGTTTCATTGTCAGATTGTTCATTGTAAGTGTACAGAAATACAATTGATTTTTGTATATTGATCTTGTATTCTGCAATATCACTGAATTCATTTACTAGATCTAGTAGGTTTTGTGTGTGTGTGTGGGCCTCAAGCAATTTGACACTAGTCTCTCCCAAGACTCAAGTAGAGTATATAGAGCCAAAGTTTTAGCTTATCTTAATTGAGTTAACGTAATTTGTTCTGATTTTCTACTAACTGGTCATAGGTATAATCTTTGTGTATATAATCCATAATGTTGGTGTAAACTATTTGTAATAAACTTGCATGGTACTTGATAAATACTGGTTTAACACCGGCATGAAAAACTGAATCAAGAGAAGAAATGAAAATAAGGTTCACTGAATTTACATAAAGCAACAATGAAAGAAAGACCTATTAGTAAGTATTCTTTCTAAAAAATTCAGAGCCTAAACTATAAATTTAGTATTGCTGTACATATTTTACAGTATATGCATACTATATGCATACTGTGTTCACAGGTCTATGAACAGTGAAAATTTCCACTGCAGATATCCAATTTGCTGAATGTTTGTTCTATTTAAAACAAGTATTTGAGTAATAAAAAAATCTACTTTAAAAAAATCTACTTTTCCTTTATTTGAGGCAATAAATTGGAAAATATAATTAAATTTTAGGAAATAGTAAAGAACAGCACTTTACACATATGCAGAAATAGTTACCTTATTCTTAGGCATCAAATTAGAAGACTATTTGAAATTTCAGATGATTCTAGATGCCTTCCATGTTTTGTTTTTGAAACATTATGGTCCAAAGACTCAAAACAAATTTAAAAGGATGGCACAGACATAATATTTGAATAACAAAACACTTTCCTCACACCTAGCAATACTTTTCTAAATGATCCTTCAAAATGAAATGCTTTACTACCTCAGTTTAGTCTTTGGAAGCATGAGCTTAGATTTTTACCAAATTGATACTACCATAAGAAAAGAAGGTTCTAAAGTCACAAAGGAAGTCAGTCACACTCTTTATCTTCTAGAACAGGAAGTATGGTAGTTTTCTTCCTTGGAAAGTTAGGAGACAGTTCTCTCACAATATTTATTCTTTCAGATATAAGGCAAGATCCAATATGTAGACACTGTCACAATTGGTTTTAAAATGCGTTCCTAATGAAATTACTCAAAAAAAAAAAAAGTTGTGCTAGTAAACTATAAACCTTCTCCTAAGGAAATGTTTTAATTATTAAATAAACGCTTTCTTTTTTAAATTTTAGATAAGATAGAGCCGTTTATATAATGGAAATATGGTTTACCAATCACAATTTTTATTCTTTCGCTAGCAGGCTTGTTTTCCCTTATCCCTCAAGATCAAAATATAGCAAATACCTTGTTTTCACCGCCTCCTCCACATTTCTGTACAAGGACGTAAGCACATGATATTTACTACCTAGGGTTAGTTGTACACGTATGAATCCCAAGCTGTGTCCTTAGAATTCAACTGTACCAAAAGGTGTCAAAAGGCTTTTGGACAGTACTTTCTAAAAGGCATATTATTTTCTCAGGGGCTTCAGTTTAACAAGTTTTCACTAGGCGAACTTGTTTTCTAAAGTTCTCCAAAGTGGATCTGATACTCTCAAATCACTGTCAAGTAGGCAACACACAAATGTGCCTAGAATTTAAGATCCAGCAGTTTATTACATAAAATAATTTTTAATATCCAGAATTTAGAGACTCCTGCAAAACTCACTGAGAAGGTAGGCAAGCCTGGATTGCTGCTCTAGTTCAACAGGAATTCTGAGTCTTTTCTGTGCCTTACACCCCTTTTGCAATTTGGTGAAGCCTCTGGACCTCTTCTTTGAATAATATTATTAAACACATAACATGATTTACAAGGAAACTAAAAAGTAAACTTGGAATATGTTTTTATGTATTCCTCTATTGTATTAAATAACAAGTTCAGTGATATAAAATAATTACTGTAATCTTGAAGAAATAAACAGTATTTCTAGGTATCTGCAACAATTAATGTGGTATGAAAATATTTGTGATTTCTATTGATGACAAAGTCACAAATACTACTGTGATTTACTGCTTATATTCACAGGTGAAGAAAACAGATTTTGGTTAAAGTTGAGTGAAAATTCCTGGTACCTTTCTTTACATCCAAGTTCACTGGCCACCTAAAGTCTATATATGCAGCCCAATTTAAGAACTCTGATCAGAATTTCATATTTTACAAAAGAAGTTTTACATATCATTATTCTAGCACATTCGTGTATATATAAGGCAAGGCACTTTACTAAAGTCTTCGCTAAGCTTATCTTTTCTTCACCACAAGGTTAAAACTAGTTTCAAGTTGCTTTCGGTCTTTCTCTCCATAACTGAATGAAATGTTGGCCAGCTGTGCTAGATCTAGTACATAAACTTTTATTTTAACATGTATTATCCGTATCACCCCTAAAAACGTTCCTCATGTTAGCCTAGAATCGCGATTTTTCAAATTTCTACAATATATATGACTTACAATGACTGACATCTTAAAAGTCAGAAACATATTTGTAACTAGAACATCACATTTTAAACATAGCTCCCTGCCTCCCTTCAAGCCAGTAACTTAGGTTATTAGATTTTTTTTAAGAAAAAAAAATGTTTAAGATGTGTGTGGGGCTGGTAGAACCTCACAACCCTTCACTGAAACTTTGCACTACTTTTAAGTCTCAGTTCGCCGTAACCGACTAGATCCGGGCCTAGCCGGTCCCGCAGTCCCGTGACTGGCACGGTCCAGGGAGAGGAAAAGGGGACAACAGAAGAGAGTTCCCCCAGAGCCAGGAGCCAAGGCAGGGAACCTCGACTAGACAGGAACCAGGAGGAAGCAGCAGCCGAGGCGGGAGGCCTCTGCAGTTCAGGCGCTTGCCTTCCACCCCCGACCCATCCCCGACTCCCTAACCCGCGCGGCCTCTACCCATTTCGGCCCCTGCCCTGCCGCAGGGCCCCGCAGCACTCTAACCTCCGCCTGCCCCCTTTTCTTCCACGGTGGAGAAGTCACCTGAAATGACCGGCCAGGGAGCAGCGGCAGCACCACACGGGCATGGAGCGCGGCGCACGGGGCGACCGCCACGGCCACCTCCCTCGGCGGGGTTGCCCGTTCGGGACGCCCGCCCGGTTACGGGGTCCTCGGGGAGCCCGCGCCCCGCGCCTAGCCGTTGCCGCGGCTGCCGGAAGCTGCGGATCTCTGGGCGCCGCGATGGGGGCGGAACGGGGCGGGGACGCTGCGACGGCTGCGGCGGAGGCGGGCGGGCTCCTACTCGCAGGTGCGGAGGCGGCGGCGGCGGGCGAGGCCCGGGATTGGTGGAGCCGCGGCCAGGCTGAGGGGCCCGGCCTGAAGAAGTGTTGGCTGAGAGGGCGGAGGGCCGAGGTAGTCCGCCCACCAGACGGCTGGCGGTGGCTACTGGGGCCCGGGCCTCGGCCTGCGCCCTGCGGCCCCTCCGCGTGCTTCCGACCTGCGGCGTGGGAGGTTGGCGAGGCTGGGAGGTTGAGCGTCCTGGATGACAAGGGGAAGAGGAAGAGCTGCTAACCTCGGTAGCGGGACGGTTAGGGGGAAATCCCTGCGTGCTGCGCGGCCTCTGCGACCCGAGCACCCCAGTGTCTCCAGAGTCGGTCCACGCGGGCCTCTCACCGAGGACGCCCGGCAAGATGGAGATTCCCGCTTGACGAAAACCACTTTAGCGCCTTACCTCGCGCTGGCCTGGGCGCAGACGCCCGGAGCTTGCGCGCGCTTTTCGTTCTTGACCCTGCCTCACAATCGCCTGGGAGAACTCACCAAACCATGGGTGCCCGGGCCCCACCCCAAGTGTTCTGATGGGGGAAGTCTGGCATTCCGACTGAGGTCCCCCTTCCTTAAGTAAGTGGCATCGCTGGTTAAAAATACAGGTGCTCAGCCCCGCCCCAGATTCACTGAGTACCTTTCATGGAGGGGGAAAGGGCAGGAAAGTGTATTTTTTAAGTCCCTCCAGGTGGTTATAATGCAAGAAAAGTTAGAAAGTACCGAGTAATGAGTGTCCCTATTCGGTAGTTTCAAGAAATGAAGGCGGGGTGGGGTGGGGAAACCTGGGAGAAGTGATTAATTGCATATACTACTGTTATATAGAGATGTCTTTCTATCCCTCGTTACAAAAAGCGCTAATTATTTTTGCAGTTAAAATCTGGGATACGTAAGTTTCTGTTTTTAAATAATTTTTTAAGTTCTCAATTTTTGCTGATTGTTGTCATTGAACAAACTTGGACTTAGCAGGTATTTTAGAGTCTGTGGAGCTTAAAATGAAGTTTTAGGACTCAGCCTGACTCCAGGATTATACAATCTAAAATAATATATTCATTCATACATATACACTTATATTCATGTTACTCTAATGTTTATTTTACTTTAATGTTTCAGAAAGTGAAGCATAATTTTCTGTTGATATTCGTAACATTATCCTTTTAAAGGAACTAAATTCGTAATAGCTATGCCAGTCCAGAGAACTGAAATATTTAAAACTGTAAGGTTTGTGAGTACTTTGTATAACTTTTTCTTTTCTTTATGGCTTTGTTTTCACTTTGAGTTTCTTGTGGTATTTTCAGATGAATTAATAAAGTGAGCATATCAAATTTTAGCCTTAAGCAGCCGTGTATTTAAACCTCAGGAACTTGCTATCATGGTTTACCCTTGATAAGGGCTAATGATTAAACCAGGTCACAATAACTACATAGAGGATTTTTCTTATAGGAAGTGGGGCACATCAGAATTTTTGTTTCTGTTTTTTGAAATTGTAGGGTGAGGTGCTACTTAAATATAAAATCCGGGTTTGATGAGGTCATGGGGCAACAGACTCAGATACTGCTGGTGAGAGTGTAAATTAGTATGTAATCCAAACTCTTCTATTTGCATAATAGACTCTCATTCCTCCTTTCAGCACATACAGTAGCACATTTAGGGTGGAGGTTATCTCACACTAGCAACCATTCCAAAACAACCCTCCTTACTGGTGTATAATATACCAGTATTTTATACATTAAATTATAGTATAGTAGTTAAAAGGACTGTCTATTGGAATCTTCACTGTGCTAGCAGTGTGATCTTGGACAAGTTACTTAGCATCTCTGGGCTTTGATTCCTCATCTGTAAAATGAGATAATAATAATTAGTTCATTGGTTATAAGAATTAAATTAAAAAATACTTATAAAGCACTTACCACAGTACCTGGCTCATGTTAATAAATATTAAAATAAATAAATATGAAATAAATATGAAAATAAATACTTTTCATTATTATCAATAATATTGTAAAATATTTTCACATTTTCTAAAATCAGGAAGTATGTGTATGGATTGAAATGTGCTCTCCCCCACTCCACCCCAATTCATATATTAAAGCCCTAACACTAATGTGACTGTATTTGGAGATAGGGCCTGTAAAGAGGTAATTAAGGTTAAATGAGGTCATGAGTGTGGAACTCTAACCCAGTAGGTTTGGTACCTTAGAAGAAGAAGAGTGGTCTCTTTTTGCCAGATGAGGACACAGGAGAGGGTGGCAAGCCAGGAAGAGAGCTCTCACCAAGAACCAAATCAGCAGCCTCCTTGGTCTCAGACCTTCCAGGCTCCAGAACTGTGAGAAAATAAATATCTGTTTAAGCCACCTACTGTATGGCATTTTGTTTTGGAGTCTGAGCTGACAAAGATAGTATGTTTTCGCATTTTCCAGAAGCAAACAAAAAATGATAATGGAAATTATTCAAAATAAACTGTTGCATTTTGTATACTAGGTAAACCTGTCAATGGACCATGTCATATGCTTGGTAGTAAAAGACTAAGTTTTAGAGGGGTTTAGAAAACATTCTAGAAACACAGTTCCTCCTTTATTGAAACTCTGGGAAGTTCAGATACTATTCAGATTTCTTTATCCTCAGGCCCACTGACACTTTTTGGTACAGAGAATTACCTCTGTTTAGCTGCCAATTTGGAATTCTCATCAGCTCTATTCTCTATCTAGATGGCAAATTTTTAAAAAATGCTTCCCTGACTACACGGGAAATTGGGGACTTACTGGTGTTGGGGACTTAAGATAAAGTTTGTTACTGCAATTTGAACTCAGGGGATTAGAAAATTCTATACCAAGAAGGCTGCTTGCTAAAAATACAATTTATTTTTGTGGCTATTGCAGCAGTCAGTTTCAGTTGCAGAGAACAGAACTCATAAAATTCACTCTACCTCTTAAGAATCACTCTTAAAGAGTTGCTTTCGGAAAGGAACCAAGATGGCAGAGTAGGAGGATGTGCTCTCACTCCCTCTTGCAAGAACATCAGAATCATAGCTAGCTGCTGGATAGTCATTGACCGGAAGACACTGGAACTCACCAAAAAAGATACCCCACATCCAAGGACAAAGGAGAAGCCACAATGAGATGGTAGGAGGGGTGCAATCACAGCAAAATCAAGTCCCATAACTGGTGGGTGGGTGACACACAGACTGGCAAACACTTATACCACAGAAGTCCACCCACTGGAATGAAGGTTCTGAGCCCCATGCCAGGCTTCTCAACCTGGGGGTCCGGCAACGGGAGTAGGAATTCCTAGAGAATCAGACTTTGAAGCCTAGTGGGAATTGATTGCAGGACTTCAACAGGACTGGGGGAAACAGAGACTTCACTCTTGGAGGGCACACACAAAGTAGTGTGTGCGTCAGAACACAGGGGAAGGAGAAGTGACCCCAGGGAAGAATGAACCAGAAGTACCTGCTAGTGTTGGAGGCTTTCCTGCGGGGAAGGGGGGTGCTGTGGCTCACCGTGGGGACAAGGACACTGGCAGCAGAAGTTCTGGGAAGTACTCCTTGGCGTGAGTCCTCCCAGAGTCTGATATTAGCCCCACCAAAAAGCCCAGGTAGGCTCCAGTGTTGGGTTGCCTCAGGCCAAACAACCAACAGGGAGGGAACCCAGCCCCACCCATCAACAGTCAAGTGGATTAAAGTTTTACTGAGCTCTGCCCACCAGAGCAGCAGTCAGATCTGCCCACCACCGGTCCCTCCCATCAAGCCTTTTAGATACCCTCATCCACCACAGGGCAGACAGCAGAAGCAAGAAGAACTACAATCCTGCAGCCTGTGGAACAAAAACCACATTCACAGAAAGATAGACAAGATGAAAAGGCAGAGGGCTATATACCAGATGAAGGAACAAGATAAAACCCCAGAAAAACAATGAAGTGAAGTGGAGATAGTCAACCTTCCAGAAAAAGAATTCAGAATAATGATAGTGAAGATGATCCAGGACCTTGGAAAAAGAATGGAGACAAAGATCAAGAAGATGCAAGAAATATTTAACAAAGACATAGAAGAATTAAAGAACAAACAAACAGAGATGAACAATACAATAACTGACATGAAAACTACACAAGAAGGAATCAATAGCAGAATAACTGAGGCAGAAGAACGGATAAGTGACCTGGAAGACAGAATGTTAGAATTCACTGTTGTGGAACAGACTAAAGAAAAAAGAATGAAAAGAAATGAAGACAGCCTAAGAGACCTCTGGGACAACATTAAATGCAACAACATTCATATTATAGGGGTCCCAGAAGGAGAAGAGAGAGAGAAAGGACCAGAGAAAATATTTGAAGAGATTATAGTCAAAAACTTCCCTAACATGGGAAAGGAAATAGCCACCCAAGTCCAGGAAGCGCAGCGAGTCCCATACAGGATAAACCCAAGGAGAAACAGGCCAAGACATATAGTGATCAAACTGGCAAAAATTAAACACAAAGAAAAAGTCTTGAAAGCAGCAAGGGAAAAATGACAAATAACATACAAGGGAACTCCCATAAGGTTAACAGCTGATTTCTCAGCAGAAATTCTATGAGCCAGAAGGAAGTGACATGATATACTTAAAATGATGAAAGGGAAGGACCTAAAAGCAAGATTACTCTACCCGCAAGGATCTCATTCAGATTCGATGGAGAAATCAAAAGCTTTACAGACAAGCAAAAGCTAAGAGAATTCAGCACCACCAAACCAGCTCTACAACAAATGCTAAAGGAACTTCTCTAAGTGGGAAACTGA